ATTAAAAATCACTATTAAAGTAAAACAAGTGTCAGTTAAAAATCACTATTAAAGTAAAACAGGTGTCAGTTAAAATCACTAAATGAGGAGCTTGTTAATAACAGTGGCATCCTGTTGCGTTTTAGTTTGATTTCCGGTATCTTTTGGGTATTTAATTTTGTGTGCATTTTGAAAACTTTAAAATGTAGTTTAAATTTCTTTATTCCTATCACAGTGTAGTCTGTTGGACAGTAGGGTTGAAAATAGTTTGCACTTTATGGTACAGGTTGTGACTGTCCTTGTGCTGTGAGGAAGTATGTTCTTTAGCCCAGCTGATCTTTTGAAAGTGTGGATTTCCACTGAAATACGCCTTGAAATCGATTAAAACACCTTGTGCTCAATTCAATTCATGACTCATCCTTTTTTTGCATTAAACTTTTACTCAAATTACATTTTATATGAAGTAATTTTGTACTTTACTTGAGTAAATTTTGAGATGGGTAATTTTACTTTTACTCTGAGTAAAATTTAGGCAAAGTAAAGATACTTTTACTCAATTACAATTTTTTAGAACTCTTTCCACCTCTGCATACAAGTCGCATATATTTGGAAATATGAACGGCAACGCAAAAAAAAAAACGGATTTCACAAAAAAATCAGAATTGAGCATCAAGGCCTGCAGTGTGAACGTAGCTTTAGTGACACAATTTCTCTGAAATTATGACCATTAAATGTTAAGTACCGTATTTTACACTTGAAATTCTTGAATTTTCTCTAAAATTGACAGTGCTCCTCATTTATTGCCATTCATTGTGCTCACGAAATGATGTTATAAGGTACACAACATTTGAAATCCATCCAAATGTAATGATCCAGTAAATGTTCAGAGCATCAACAGGACCCCTGAGTAGTCCATAAAACTGCCTGACTATAATGTCTAAAATACAACTGTTTAGGTGCCCCCCTCCCTTCTTCAAATCAAACAAAAATGGATTCAAACTATGTTTTCAACATATTAATAAAGACTTGCAGAAGTGATTAATTCAGTCTAGCAAAGTTTTTGCAGAAACATTTTTGCTTGTGCTGCTTTTGTATTACAGGTCTAAAGGTTGAGACGTTTAAACTTTCATTAACAGCTTTAAGAAAAAAGGTGCAAAACCAAAAATGTTTGCTGCACAAACATTTGACATCATTTCTGTCTGGGGAGGCTTATAGGCCTTGACTTAAAATATTATTAACATGAAAACATAATCAGGTTTTGTCACATTTTATTTTGTTGTTCAGGTTTGTCATTAAAATAGGAAAAACTTATTTTAAAAAAAACTTTAACATTTTTTTTGACCTATTTAAAATAATTTATAAAACTTAAATTATGTAAGGAAAAACTGTTTTTTCTTTACATAAAAACAAACAATGGCAGCCCACTGCTCCCCAAGGGGATGGGTTAAATGCACAGAGTGAATTTCCACATTTGTGGGACAATAAAGGGATTTATATTACAATCTTTATTTAATCATAGAGAAAGAGGATTTTTCTTGACTGTAAATTGGGAGGAAATAATATTTAAAAAGCAGGTTTATATAAAATCTCATGTAAAGTTGAAAATTGTGTTTAGTTTCTTAACTAAACTTTTGTATGCAGACAAGTTTCTTAAAGAGCAGTCAGATTCGTTGCATCACAAACTAAAACTCATTCTCATTCTTTAAGAAAGAATAAAAGCTCCTAAATGTGATGATTGACTAGACTGTGTAAAGTTTGATCATATTTCTGTTGTTCGAATTAAAAAGATGAATAAAAAATTGTGAAACCCTTTCTTTCAGTGTGTCCTTTGGGTTTCTTTGGTTCGTCTTGCGCTCAGGAGTGTCGCTGTGATGACTTGTGCCCATGTGACCCGCAGACAGGAAGCTGTAACACCACTTTACCACAAGAGGCCAATTACACCCTTCACCGAGGTATGAACACAATCATTGTTCCCATTTCTGATGCCAAACATCCGATTCAGCATAAAACCACCTTCGAGACCCTATTGGTCCTTATTTATAGAAAAAATCGTACTTTAAACGCAGCAGAAGTTGAGAGTCAGACTCTGTTTTGAAGAGAAAAATATGATCTTAATTCAAATTGTTTAAATTTTTATTGCTGTCAAATATTTATATAGTTTATTTGAAAATGCTTGGTGTTGAAAAATTAAAGTGATAATTCACTTTTTGGAAGATGGAGTCAGAAACATAAACTCCTCATTATAACAGAAGCTGCTACCTGAGTCATGTTCTGGCTCTTTTATAGGTCATCAGAATAACTTATTCTCTGACTACAGAGGGGGGAGGGACATTAAACTGGGCAAATCCAGAAACAAAACCTAGAATAATTCACTGGGGCACCAAAGATGAAGGCAAAAATAATAGTTTTCGTTAGTTTAAAAACAGATCTAGTAAAATATAAAAAAGCTTGAACATACCGAACATAATGTTTCTGGGATACGATCATTTTCTCCATGTCTCTCTACAGCCGGACACTGCCTGGCCAAAAAGATGTTTACATCCTGGAGACAAGAAGAAGAAGCTCTCAGAGCAAAGCCTTATCTGACAGAGTAAGTTTTTTTTTTTACCTGTTATTTATACCCCATTTACACTACCCTTGAAAAACCGATCCATGCCGAGACCGGTCCAAGCTCGGATCAGTTAACCAGGCCGAGCTCGGTTCTGACGACCGTTTACACATCACGCTATCTCGGTTCCTCGCCTCCTAGTGACGATCTGCGGTATTACTGCCAGTATTAAAGGAGGAAATCAAGCAGTTGGTGGCGGTAATGCACCTAAAGTTGTTTGCCAACTGCCATAAAACACAAGAAGAAGACGACGAAGAAGGAGGGAATCGAGCAAATCAAAATGGCCGCGCCCGTCACAGTCAGAAAGTTATGCTTGATTATTATTGCTGTACTTCGGTGTTATTATTAAAAATTTTGCATGGAGAAGATTTCGATTGTTGTTTATGGTTGAAGAAGAAATTTTTCTTCTTCTTCAGTTTCTGGAGGGGCATTACCGCCACCTACTGGAATGGAGTGTGAATCGGGATGTGCAGCCAGATGGAGATGACGCGTTCTGCTCATGCGCTCTTGTTATCAGAGAACCGAGCCGAGCCCACCTCTGGAACTGGTCTGCAGTTAGCTCGGTTCAGTTGTGTCTAGCTCCGTTCAGTTCAGTTTACTTTCCATTTACACACGATAAGTTATTTCAGTTACTGAGCTCGGACCGGTCTCTGCACGGTTTTTCAAGGGTAGTGGAAATGGGTTAAAAGATATCAACCTAACCGATCCACTGCCATTTTTTTGGGATGATTTTAAGAGCTTATATATTGCATTTTCTTGCTCAATTTCTAAGATAAAACT